GTGGAATATTAAATTTACTTAGAATATCTCAAACCAACCGCAAGACCAACCATTTTGCGAATAGATCCCCTGAGGAATTTGCTATTGATTTTCGCTGAACGAAAAATGTCAAAAAATGTAATATTCATACTGTGGTAAACACTTTTTTTATGCATTTCCATTGTATGTATAATATTAATTCAAATCCTTTGTTTGCATTGACTGAATATTGAATATTAAAGAAATGACCTTCTAAAAATATTTTCTATATTATCACAGATGATTTAATTAACATGACTATAATTTCTAATATTTTGTATCTTGTATTAAATAAATAGTTGTTACTTTTTATGAGTCGTTAGCTTTTTATGATAATTAATTATAAACTAATACGATCAATTAAAATCTAATAAAGATCAATAAAACCTAATTAAAATATTATAAGAAATAGAACATTTAAATATTATTAAATTAAATTATATAATATTAAATATATTTCGCAATTATAAATTATGAATTGTTATAAAAAAAATTGTTTAAAAAATATAATTTAATATTTAATAAATATCCTTTGAATTAAAATAATAAGAGCGCGTGGTAAAATGATTACTTCCCTGATAAATATTTTGCTCTAATCTTCTACAGTTATTATGACTATCTTTAACGAAGTTATGAGATTAATCAAAGTGGAGATCTCCCTGAGCTGTACCACTGATATCAGTGCAAGGTTGGTCCTTAATTTACTAGCGTATAATTCCAAGCTGGCGGGTGACCCTCGAGGGCCACCTTGGCGTTAACGAGTCTCCCTCATCTGCGAGATCGAGAGTGGCGAAAAGCCTCGAGGGTGCTCGTATTTTAGGAACCAATCGAGTGATGCAAGGTGCGGTTAAGAAGCGAATGTTCACTCGGCGCCCGTTGGGACGACTCAGTGCAAAGAGGAGAGACAGGGAATGTAGAGGTGAGAGGTGGGGGCTTCATCGATTTCTTACCCCGTGGCCCAGTAACGCGTTTCGTGGGACCGTCGTATACCGTCATTGGGTGTAGCTACCCCCGATGAAAGGATCTTGATGCACCGCAGGATGCACCGAGGAAATCACTGATCGCGGCGTCTCTTCGATCGTTCGCATTGAGTTTTTTACGATAGCGCTTAAGCCTCTCGTTATCGCGCAAGATTTTATCATTTCAACGCGACTCCAAGGCAAATTTTTTGCGATATTAGATGGAAAACTTGACGTCATTACAATTGCCATAAATATGACTTCAAATGAGCAAGCATATTTTCTAACGATAAAATTTGAATACATTTGATTACAATATACGTTACTAATTATTTAATAAAATGATAATCCTAATTAATTAATTTTAGTAATTATAAAATTAGTAATTATAAAACTAATTAATATTTATTATAATAGCCATTGTATATTATTGTTTTAAAATTTATGTTATTTTAATACTATAATATCAAATTTTATATCCGTAAATAGTTTTAATAATTAATATGAATGTCCATTAACATTAAGCTGCTTGTTGATAATTAATTTACTAATTCACGTACATGTTTATAACGATATTACAAATTTTTATCATAATATAAATTATTTTCATTATTAAAGTTTCAATTCATGACTTTTTAATTTATAATTGCATGAATATCACTAGATATTATATTACATGTTATCTGAATTAATTAATAAATTTCCAGGACACAGTACTAATTGTAATAATACATTAAAATTACTTTTTACTTTGAAAAAAATTTCTTTAAAAGAAATCTTTTAAAATTATCTTTACAAGATAGAAAAGCTATTAATGGGGCACTAAAACCATGTCATATTATGAAAATTATGCGTTTCGCAGATTTTCTCCGTGTTCTCAGGTCCATTTTTGGAATACCATTTTTCGTGAATCTTGCAAGTCCACTTCATCACAGCGAAGAGCAACCTGATACTGAATTGTTCCTCCGGGCCGTTCCCTTTATATTACATTGTTGGGGGGTGGGGAGGGGGGAGGGAAGAATTGCGGGGGAGGGGGAGAGGGAAATCGGCCGGTCTTCAAAAACCGGGGAAATGGTCTTCCATATTTTATTTATGTTGTTGTAGCCATTATCTCTACTTAGATTGTTAAGAGTGTTTTTGTATCTCTATGGCTTCCCTATACTTTTTTGGAAAATATGATATAATGTTGGCTATTGTGATCGTTTTGTTAAACATTTGATGTCCTATTTCGATGTTGTGTTCTGATAATGCGAACGCGTGTTTTAGCCTGACATCATTTTGGTGTTCTTTTATCCGTAGATTGATTATTCTCCCGATTTCTCTAATACTTATCCGCAGGAACAAGATATTTTTGTGTCATATTATATTTTGAGGCAAGCAATACAAAGAAAAAAATAATGAACTATAACAAATCTTACATAAGGAAAAGCTGTGAGATTTTAAAAGTAGACTTCAGTCCTCTAAAAGTTAAAAGAGATTTATTGGATATTGAACTTGGCGTTTAATATTCACGAATGCTAGAATTAAAACCTAATCCTTGAACAAAATGAAAATGAAGCAGATTAAGTAAAAGACCAGAAACTTTCCAAGAGTTAGTGACAGTCACCTGTGTTTAATTTCAGAATGTGTATATCTTTGCTTTCTAAGGAAGATAAATTTCCGTAACTACTACTACTATAAAATTTGTTCGCCTGCGAAAAATGCACGATCTATCGCGATTATGCTAATCTTGTATCATATTACGGTATACAGGTTCATATTTAGTGCTAAACCCAAACGTATCATGCATCGTATAAAGTTGATGCATCTATTAAAAGGAAAGCTAACGTTCCTCGTTAATAACAATATATAATCGGAGCAGTAACATTTACGATAAGCACAATGATGAATTATCATTACGTAAATTTCACCTATTACAATTTTCCTTGTTACACTTGCATGTTGTATATCCACTGTGCATCTGTATCCATATGTAACTCCCAGTTATGTCGAAAGCTGCGAGCTTAGGAATCAATCATATTTTCCAATTAGTGCGCATTCTTCATGAAAATGAACCATATTTATTTTCTAGAAGTTGTTAGCAATAATCAACGATAAATGTCTCCTTTATCGGCAACGATTTAATAAAACCGGTTATCTGGAATTTAATGGCGATCTCGTATAATAATAAATTTTCTCATGCTAAATTGGTTCGGTTGTTCAATTGCGCATTTATAATGCGATATCAGCCTCTTTCAACCTCTTGTAAATTTTGTTTACATTAATACGCAAATTCTAGAATCATGTTTCACGATGTCTAAATTATATTGATATATTGCAACAATATTTCTGGATTGTTCTTTATTTGAAATCGTGATCGAATAAACTAAAATATTTATTTGATAAATGAGAAATTTGATTACGCATTGTATTATAACTGTCAATTAATTTCTTTCCTAAAGGTATTCATATTAATATTGAATAATTAAAGAGCTTTTTAATCAATTAAATAATGAAAATTTATAACTTTAATAAATTTATAATTTAAACAGAAATAATTACTTATTTATTTAAATTAATAATGAAAGTTTTCTATTTGCTACACGAAATATTGTGTATCAATATTAATAATAACTCGCTAATAACAAATTAATTACACAATTTGTACGATACAAAAAACATGATATGTCTGTAATAATGAATTATAAAATATTCGTTTTTGCGAAATATATAATCCAGAGCTTAATTTCAAGATTAAGGACATAATGTCATAGAAGGAAATCTTCCTGGATATAATTAACTCCCAATTAAATTAAATGACAGTGTCAGGCACTCGCAACGTTAAGGCTCACACATGCTTTTCTAAATTACCTCGTACTTCGCGAAATGGCGAGAAAGGACGGGACTCGCGCTTGGATTAACTTAATCAACCAAGTATTTGCTAAGCGAAGGAAACGACCGAGGAGTTCGAGAAGGATGGAATTTGAACAGGAGGGTGGCTTTCAGAGCAAATTGGCCGCAGCAAATTGTCGGCGTCGAACGGGAATATATGTATTTAATGGAGTTCTCTCTTGTTAATACGCTCGATGTACACGCGTTCCATTACACAATGGCACACGATTTTGCTAAATAAATATACGCTCGATTTGTGCTGCGTGCTTTTAAACGGCTGTTGCAGCTGGAAGTGTAGTGAGCGATGAGGCGCGGACTCGAACATTCGTCGAATAAAACATGGCTTGCATTGATTTAATTCAGCGATTAATTAAAACAAATTCGCCACTAGTTAATTCGCATTATACGGGCGTTGTCTGAACTTTTAATAACACGACACAATATAATTAATCGTACGTTTAAATCCCTTTATAATGAACCGCGGCGTACCGGCGAGCCGATAAAATGACAAATATTCCTTATGCATTATGCCGCGGATTATGCAAAATTTATGCGGAACTGATCGATGTTTACCGCTCTCCTTACCGTCATAAAATGCGGTTAAGGGCTTAATGTACCAATCCAGAAAAAGCTCCCGCAATTATACATTTTTCTTCTAACGGGCAACCTAGTTCCATCAATAAATGTCTACTTCTGGAATGAAGTGCCGTTATCTGAAACTACTTAACCTTTTTGCTCGCGGCGACCGGTAATTGCCCATCTTAAATTTCCGTAACGGGGCGAAAAAATGATTAACGGTTCAGGATTCTTTATCATCCAAGTTTCGTACTTTAGTGCAAAGTGCATTAAGACCGCGGGAATATATAATACGAGGAATAATGTTAGAGTAGTGTGTCTCCATCTGAAGAAAAATTCTCTTTTATATATTATTTTCTATGTGATAATTTTCTTTAGTATTATTATAATTAAAATCAGAATTTTTCTTTAAATCTGATCTTCTTTGCATCAACTTTTAAAATCAGTAACTTAATATTTAATTAGCACGATGTTATGCATACTTAAATTTTTATTCAAGTATCACTGATTTTTTTATTTAAATTCTAATAGTATAAATTAAAGTCTAATTATGTGAATTTGTTTAACATGTTACAGTAACAAAATTCATTCGCATTGGGATAGCTGACAAGAACGATAATCCCCCATATTTCGACAAGGGCCTCTACGAGGCTGAAGTAGACGAAAATGAGGACATTCAGCATACGGTGCTCACCGTCACCGCCAAAGATCACGACGAGTGTAAGTCTTACTTGCCTTTTTAGCAATATTATTTCATCAATTATCATTTTCATTCTATTATAAATTACACTGAAAATATTCACAGTCCATATAGGTATATATTAAATACTTGTAACTATATTATAACGACACTTGTCGTACCCGCATGCAAGTATATACCTTGGAAATATTTGGGCAACCAATTACAAATATATGTCGTGTTAATTCTAACATGCGAAATAATTAAAGACATATGAGAATTTCATACTGCAACATCTCATTTGTCACGTTTGACAAGTCTAATGTGATGGCATAAAAATTCCAACAATTATACATTTGTGAACGTTATTTCAAGTATTTAATATACGAAAGGATCTCTGAAAATTCAAATAATTCCATTACTCTAACTCACGGTACCGAAATTAATAATTACATACGTATTATGAAATATTTGCTACAAAGTGAATGCGTTTAAACGTATTGTGCAGATTGTGTACGAAAAGTTACGCAATATGTCCTAAACATAAATTAAATAACACTTCATCTCATTCACTTTACCTTGATATTTAATCTTTTTGAGTAATACGGATAAACAGATTATCATATGAATTTTCACATTTTGGAAACATTTAATTTATAGCTTAACAAATATCCACTATATACTTAAAATTGATGATATTTACGCTTTGGCATTTATAAAGTACGTTACAAAAGATTTTAAAACTAGATATATATACTTTAGTCCTCTTAAATTTAGTATAGCATTGTGTAAATATAATACATTGAAAAAACGATACATAATAGATAATATGACTATTTGTGACTGAAATCGGTTGAAATTATTTATAAAAATAAATATATCATTTTTTTCCATGTATTTATTCTCTCAAATATTTGAGCTATTTATTTAAAAATTACAGTTAATATTTACAACTTGAATTACACGGAATATTTCTAGCTATTATTTGAAATTGTTAATATTATTATTCAATATTGCTAATTAATCTTAAAACTGCATGTTGCTACATTAATCTTCCATGCAAAATTTTGTACCTTTTATCGTCAACCTCGGGCTTTGTGTTTCAGAGTAAATTTTTATATTGTTTTAGACTGTATAGAAATCTAACAAAAAATCTGTATGCTTAAGAAAATTTTAAGAACAAATTTTTAGTATCATAGAAGTCGGATTGTACTTTAATCACTTTTTACATTTTTTAAAATTCATCTATCGGAATTCATAATCGAAATATCGATTGTGCCTTTAAAATCAAACTTGGCAAAGGATTGAAAATGAAGAAAATGATACTCTTACGGTAGAGAAGCGTAGAATTAAAAGAACTGCATTACTAAAAAGAGATATAGTCTGAAAATTTTGAGCTTTATACTATCACCCGAATCGATCTAAAATAAAATTTATCGGATACCATTATTGTCAAGTAACTTTTACTAGTCTCATATCTCGAAACGCGAGAATTATCGTAAACTAGATCGAAAGTATCGAGTAGACTTCGGTTGGCGAAAATCGATCGAAAATGGCCATTTTTCTCCGTGCTAACATCCCCCCGAACTTTCTTATTCGATAAAACTCGCTCCCAGCGAGAGAACTTTTATCTCGGAATTCATTCGATTACAACGAGAGCGTCGTTGCGAAAGTCGCGCCTTGCTTTATTAAAAGTCCTTCCTTTCTGTCACAGCCTCGCGTATTCGATACGAGATCACGAGCGGGAACATAGGCGGTGCATTCGCTGTGAAAAACATGACCGGCGCCATTTACGTTGCGGGTGCGTTGGACTATGAGACGAGGAAGAGGGTTGGTATCGCCATAAATGTCATCCTAGTGTATCGCTCGAACGCTTTACTTTACAGTTATTTATTTAACATCTTTATATATTTAGAAATTATTCAATATTTCAATCGTTAAAAAAATTCTAATTTTTTACCTGTTGTGTTTCCTGAAAATAATTGAAGAATAAAAAATTAAATAATCGATTTAACTAGCTTTTTAATTATTCAACTTTAAATAAAGATAATTTATTTTATACAAGCAGTATTTTTATTTCGCACAAGTCTTCAATAACAGAAAGATTATATAATATTGTATATAATGATATGCTAATCGATAATTGATGCCATGACAATTAAGTTAATTATATAAATTAATAATTGATATAATACCAATTGAGATAATCATATGAATTGATAATTGGTTTAATTGAAATAATTAAATAAATTGATAATTAATCTAATGGCACAATTGAGCTAATTATCCGTACATTTCGTGCACGTGTGAAAACTGTATTTAATATATTAAATATCTGAACTTGTGTATTTTACGAGAAAATTTTCACGTGCGTCTTGCAGTACGAGCTTCGGCTTACTGCGTCGGACAACTTGAAGGAGAATTATACGACAGTTGTAATTCACGTGAAGGACGTAAACGACAACCCGCCTGTCTTCGAGCGACCAAATTACAGAACACAAATTACGGAGGAGGACGACAGGACTTTGCCGAAACGCGTCCTCGGGGTAATTATTCTCCTTATGTAATCGTTACATTAAACTTTTATAAAATTAGTTGTGCTGAATGAATATTTACCTCGTCCACACAGCGAGATTGCGGTTAATTAGCAATTAATATTTAAATCACAGGTCACTGCGACTGACGGAGACAAAGATAGACCACAAAATATAGTCTACTTCCTAACTGGGCAAGGTATTGATCCCGATAATCCTGCGAACAGCAAGTTTGACATCAATCGTACGACCGGAGAGATTTTTGTTCTGAAGGTTTGTTTCTAAATCAATCATATTTGTTTGTTTGGGAAAATATTTTATCGATAAAAAAATAGATATTTATTATGAAAGTATATATACAATATATATGTAAGAGAGAGAAAGGATTTGTCAAGTAGTCTTTATAAAAAGTGACTAAAATTAGAAATGTGTGCTTATATTATTTAAAAATAAATGTCACATGTAAAATAATTCAATAAGATCAATATTTATACTTAACAACATAATTTTATAGTTTAAATGAAAATTTTTTCATTTTATCTTAATTATTTTTTAAGAACATGTTTACTTTTTATTAAAATTTTTTTTTTCATTAAAATATTTTTTATCCAGATTATAAACGCCGCGAATTTTTTGTATTACTTTTATAATACAATATAAAAAAATTTGTTCATTTTGTTAAAAAATACGTGTAATACATCCTTAAACAAATGAAAATATTCATTAATATAATTTTTTTACATTCGCGTGATACGAATTTTTCAAGTTTATATATATAATAATAAATATAACTATTACAGTGCATTTGCAATATAGAAAGTATTCAAATTTTTTTCAAATTCTTTTCAAATTTTTAATACTGAAAATATAAAAATTATAAAACATGATGGTAGCGTTTTTTTCGTTAATAATTACGAAATTAATTAAATTGTAAAATTAAACGGTTTCATTGAATTTATCTTGCAGAGTCGCAATAGTTAACTCTACTTTCAAATTAATTTGATATAAATTTTACTTCAATAAAGATTTAATTTATGATTAAAAAAATTACAAAACGATGATTTGAGGAACAATCATCCATATTGATATTAAACATCTGATGTAATCTAACACCTGGTCGGTACGGAAATTAATTCTTCTATGAAATGCACATATTTGTGCACGTGGCTGTGACGCAATATTGCGATGGATAATTCAAATATCGGCATCGCGATACGATATTGAGTTTCGAGTAAAGACTATGTAAATACACGATGTGCGTTTGACTGGCTCCTCAAAGGATTCGCGCGTGACTTTTCTTTTTCTCCCGGCATAGCCGCTGGACAGAGATCAACCAAATGGTCGGCCACAGTGGCGGTTCACCGTATTTGCTCAGGACGAGGGTGGAGAAGGTCTCGTGGGTTATGCCGACGTCCAAGTTAACCTCAAGGACATCAATGACAACGCCCCGATATTCCCGCAGGGTGTCTACTTCGGCAACGTCACCGAGAACGGCACCGCAGGTTTGTGGGACAATAGCCAATGGGCCAATATACAGACGCGGTTACATTCCCGTGACATTAGAGTTACGCTGATTAGATTCCCGTTTATAGTAGCTACGCTGTTATATAGAACTCTACATGTTGGATGTTGATTTGAATATTTTAAAGTTGCGAAAAAGATAAAGAAAAATTTATTGATTTATTAAGAGATTAATAATTTCTTTTCGTCAATAAATAAAAAATTTAATAGCGAAAAAATGGACTTAATGGGATTGAAATGGAATTAACGCTTTTCATGCTCTTCTTCATTAGGAATGGTGGTCATGACAATGACAGCCGTGGACTATGATGATCCAAATGAAGGCACAAACGCAAGACTTATCTATTCTATCGAGAAGAACGTCATTGAAGAAGAGACTGGTTCTCCCATTTTTGAAATTGAATCGGAAACTGGCGTGATCAAAACCGCTGTGTGCTGCTTGGATCGAGAACGCACTCCAGATTATTCTATACAAGTCGTTGCAATGGATGGAGGGGGGTTAAAGGGTAAAATTCTTTCAATGATTATTTTTAATTTTAATAAGTTTCATATTTTTAATTGTAATTATTAGTAATCATCATAACTATTTTTTCATAATTCTCACAATTATATCTAAAATAAATCGTTAATAATTGTAACAACTCTTATTCGGAATGAATTAATTTTTACTTCTGTGAATACTATCTAGTAAAATATTTTGTCATGGAAATAAAAGGACACCGACTATCTATACTTATTTTATCTTTTTGTTATCTTACACTCGTTTACTAAAATATTACTAAACGTTCTTTCCATGTGTCTTTTATCATTCTGGGTCTTCATCTGTATTCAAGTATGAAAGTCGAAAGTCCGAACCAGTATATGCGTAAAATGGTTCTAGATATTTCTACGAATAGTAGCAATGTTGTTTTGCATATTTTAAGATCCGTCCAGGACATTCCATAGAAAGATATCATTGCAGTATTTCCATGTATTTCTTGGTAGGTACCGGGACGGCATCGATACGGGTCAAAGACATAAACGACATGCCACCGCAATTCACGAAGGATGAATGGTTTACTGAAGTGGATGAGACAGAAGGACCAGATCTACCAGAGATGCCGATACTCACTGTAACTGTCCACGATGAGGATGAAACCAATAAATTCCAATACAAGGTATCCACTTATGTTCAAGACGCGAAATTATTAATTGGTTAAAAAATGAGTTTAAATTTAATATATAGACCATTGTATTCTCTTTTGCATTTATTAGGTTCGCATTTAATTTTCATTTTAACTCGTAATTAAAAATGTTATCATAGTATGTAAATAAAGAAAAAAAAAATATATATATATATATCGGCATTCATCAGAGTAAAATTAATAGTTACGAAGCGTTATACTTTCATAAATAATAAGGATAAAATTAAAAAGAGAAGATGAATTTAATTTAATTTCAATTTAGTTTATTGCTATATGAAAAAGACATGTTAACAGAGTAATAGACATAAAGTATGATATAATAGAAAATAGATTAAGATAAATATAAGTAAATAGACAATGTCTAGCTTGCAAATGATTAGGCGTCAGCAGAATTGCTATTACAAAGCCTACCAGTAACAAAACCAGAATAAGACAACAATGTAATCAGAAGTAAATTAATAGCTGAAATCATACTCACACACACACATACACCTGCAAATACATCAATTACATCAGTCTCGTTTAAATAGTGTGACGAAGGCAATTAGAATATTAGAAATAAGAATTGCAAAGTGTCTGATTATATTTACATATATTTTTGATATCGCGAACTTTCAAGCTTAAAATAATTATATTTGGAATAACAATCACCAATTTCTTTTTTTCAATATACCAATAATTATATTTAACAATATTGTAAAATAATAATTCACGATTTAAGGTAATTGAGAATAGCGGTTACGGTGCCGATAAGTTTACCATGGTACGAAACAATGATGGCACAGGATCATTGAAAATTGTGCAATCACTAGATTATGAGGACCAACTGCAGAGTAATGGTTTTAGATTTAGGATACAAGTGAACGATAAGGTGAGCAAAGAGAAAATTAATAAGATGTAAATTTTTAAAGTAATTTCAGAGAAAGAGAAAAGATAATATGAAAAAAATCTAATTAAATTAATTTCATGAAACTTTCTATTTAAATTATATATGCATTATAATAAAAAAAATCTTCATTAAATTTTTTTTATAAAAATTGATAGTTTTGCAAGAAAAATATTTTTTCTTGTATATATGTATATTTAAATTATCGAATTATTAAATAAAGATAAGACGTCGTAGTATAACAATTTAATCGGACAATCATCCTTTCCAGGGCGAAGACAATGACAATGACAAATATCACGTGGCCTATTCCTGGGTAGTCGTGAAATTGCGAGATATCAATGACAATCAGCCACAATTTGAGAAAGCCAATATCGAGACTACTGTGCCAGAGAATGCCCGCATAGGCAGCAGCTTGGAAACATTCAAGGCCACCGATCCGGATCAAGGTGGCAAGAGCAAAGTCTCATATTCCATTGACAGAAGCTCCGATCGAAAGAGACAATTCTTTATCAACGAAAATGGCACTGTATCGATACAAAGAAGCCTTGATCGCGAGGAAACTCCTCGGCATCAGGTAAATTATAAACAACAAATTAATAAATAAAAAATTAAATAATTTAAAAAATTAAAAAATTTCTAAACGTTTATTATTATTAAATAATTATGGTGTAAAAATTAGAAGGATCACATTCGATAAAAAAATTATATTAAAATGGTCTTAATTAAATTACATATTACATAGTACCATACGTTTTTAATAAAAATATAAATTGTAGCGTGAAAGTGACAAAAATGATGATTTACTGTCTTAGGTTAAAATTTTGGCGATCGATGATGGAATACCACCTAAAACCGCGACAGCTACCCTGACAGTCGTTGTACAGGATATTAATGACAATCCACCAAGATTCCTCAAGGACTATCGCCCAGTTTTGCCAGAATATGCACAAACTAAGAAAGTCGTTGAGATTCTCGCTACCGATGACGATGATCGATCGAGAAGCAACGGTCCTCCGTTCACTTTCCGGATGGATCCTAACGCAAACGATGTTATCAGAGCTAGCTTCAAAGTTGAGAGCGATAACAGTAAGTTTCGTTAATTAATAAATTTCAATGTAAAAATTTATTCTTTAAGACAAAATTCGATGTTTTTTCGTATATCATATGTATATATAATATTATCTTCACATATGAATAATTATATTACATTTTGTCTTAATTAATAATAAAAATTCAGTTGCATAAAAATGCGTTGCAGAGAATAGTTTATCACGTGCGCTCTCATTACTTTTCAGAGGGAGCTAATGGAGATGGAATGGCCGTAGTGTCATCTTTACGATCCTTTGATAGGGAACAACAAAAGGAATTCTTGATTCCTATTGTCATTAAAGATTCTGGAAATCCTTCTATGTCTGGGACCAGTACCTTGACAGTTATCATAGGAGACGTTAACGATAATAAAATGCAGCCTGGCTCCAAGGAAATCTTTGTATATAATTACGCAGTAAGTATTTAAATTATATTAAATTAAATAAATTGCTTCACATTATATCTAAATTATATCTATTTTTTTCGCTGAATGATACGAATCTCAAAAAAATTGCGTTAAGTGAAATTTTTTAAAACCTCTTCATAAATACAATATAATCTAATTAAACACAATAAGATTCAGTCGAAGCGAATTTTGATGCTTAATAATATTTTCGTGTGAATTTTTACAATTTCCAGTTCAATCAAATTAATCTGATTAATTAATTTTTAGGGACAATCGCCGGATACCGAGATAGGTAGAGTGTATGTGTACGATCTGGATGACTGGGATCTGCCTGATAAGAAGTTCTATTGGGAGGGATTAGAACACGCACAATTTAGGCTCGACGAGGATTCGGGGATGATTTTCATGAAATCTGGTACGCACGACAGCAAGTATCATCTACGGTTCAAGGTTTACGATCGGAAGCACACGCAAACGGACGTTCCCGCAAACGTGACTGTCACTGTCAAGAGTATTCCGCATGAGGCGGTATTAAATTCAGGCTCGGTTCGAATATCCGGGATAACGGATGAGGACTTCATTCGTGTTTGGAATTATCAGGTGAGAGTCTTTAAATCTTACTAAATAAATATTATATAATTTATCCTACATGTTACATCTTATGAATGAACTTTTTTCCTTAATAAAATAGATTTAGATTCTTAAATTTCATAAGTAATTTTTTTAAACCCTTGTATTTTTAATTCAAAAAGGTACAAGAATTGATATAAGATTTTGTTTTATTTTTAGAACCAAACTTTGTCGCGGAGCAAAGCGGATCTATTTAGAGACAAGTTGTCACATCTATTGAACATAGATAGGGATAACGTGGACGTTTTCAGCGTCCAATTAAGGAGAGTGCATCCGCCATTGACGGACGTCAGATTCGCCGCGCATGGTTCACTATACTACAAACCAGTCAGGCTTAATGGCATTGTGCTTATGCATCGCGAAGAGGTAAATGTCATTCAAGAAAGAGTTTGAAGATTCAATTTTAAATACTTCAAAAAAATTGCATTAAATAAAGATAAAGAATTCAAATAAATTCCCAATAAAATTCCTCTAATTAATTAAGTTCTTTATTAATGCGTATTCATTTGAAGATGTTTCAATTTAAAAAATTAAATCACGTTTCCGACAGATCGAAAAAGACGTGGGGATCAACATAACTATGGTCGGTATCGACGAATGCTACTATGAGAACGAAATGTGCGAAGGAAGTTGTACGAACACCCTTGATATCAGCAACTTGCCATACATGGTGAACGCAAACAGGACCGCTCTTGTCGGCGTACGCGTGGATGTGATAGCCGAGTGCACTTGTGGAGCGCGGAATTTCAGCAAGGGCGAATCCTGCAGAAACAGTCCTTGTTACAATGGCGGACGCTGCGTGGAAGACCGATTTGGATTATCGTGAGTAAAACTCAATTAAATTCCACGTTGACGTATTGCAAATCGCAATGCATTTACGCAAAATTTACTAATAAAAAAGAATTTTGTCAATAGAATAATCGTTACAATTCATCTATATAAATAAAGATAAATTGTAATGATTATTCTATTGAATAATTTTGTTCTTTGATCAATTAGAGCTTCTTAGCTGTGTTTTATAACTCTAGATGTCAATGTCCATCTGGCTACAATGGTCCGAGGTGTCAGCAGACCGCCAGAAGTTTTCGAGGCAACGGATGGGCTTGGTATCCCGCTTTGGAAATGTGCGATAACAGTCACTTGAGCTTCGAGTTTATCACAAGAAAATCTGACGGACTATTATTGTACAATGGTCCGATTGTTCCTCCCGAAGTCGATGAAGTAATGGTTTCTGGTAAGATTGTTATCCTTCGAATTTTTACATTTTTAATGGCATATCAATTATTTTATTACGCTAAATTTGCCTACAGACTTTATTTCGGTCGAATTGGAACGCGGTATACCGAGGCTGCTAATTGATTTTGGATCTGGCACTTTGGAGCTGAAAGTGAAACCAAAGAAAACTTTAGACGATGGCGAATGGCACCGGCTTGACATTTTCTGGAATACGGAGGTAAAAATAATCGATATTATATTTATTCACAAATCTCGATAAAATATGCATATATACTAGTGTTTAAAAAATAAAAATCATTCATTATACTCTCTAATAGACAAATTATTATTACATGTTCTTCACTATGATCTAATAATGAATAAAAATAATAGCCTTTTATGATTTTTCAAAAAGATCTAAATTATGATCTTTTTAAATACAAAATAATCCTAACGTCAAAATTATTTACAGACCGTGAAGCTCATCATCGACTACTGCAAATCTGCGGAAATATCTGAGCTGGAGGATGGAAGCCCGCCAGAATTCAATGACACTAGTTGTCAAGCCACAGGAACGATACCACCGTTCAACGAATACCTGAACGTGAATGCACCGCTGCAAATCGGTGGTCTTTATGTGGAGCAATTCGATCCCTCGCACTACAAGTGGAAACACATGCCGGTGGGCAAGGGCTTTGACGGTTGCATCAAGAATCTGTTTCACAACAGCAAGTTGTACGATCTCGCTCACCCGGGTCTTTCGCGAAACAGCGTCGCCGGTTGCCCGCAAACGGAGGAGATCTGCAACAATCAGGAAACAACTTTCCGCTGTTGGGAACATGGCACTTGCGTCGGCAGCTTCACCGAAGCAAGATGCCAATGCAATCCTGGCTGGACCGGTCCTGGATGCATGACGCCCACGATCCCAACTACCTTCAAGCCACAGAGCTATGTCAAGTACGCGTTATCTTTTGAACCGGATAAATATTCCACTCAGGTGCAATTGAGATTCCGTACCAGAGAGATGCACGGCGAATTATTCAGAGTGAGCGACCAGCACAACAGGGAATATGCGATTTTAGAGGTAAATACGACGTGTTTTCAAAGTTACTAAAGGATTATTTTTATTCAATAAATATTTCTTAGATTTACAAAATAGTCACCAATTAAATAATTCTATTATTCATAAAAAATTAACTAATATTCACTATTTTAATGAGTTGTTTTTTTATATTGCTTTTAATAAAGTAAAATATTTAATTACAAAATCTGCATCTTTTATATATCAAACATATGAAATAAAATTAATCTTAAAAAATCTATCTATTGTGATTTTAAATATATCTTTGAAATATCCAGATTTTTAAATTTTACAATGTGTATTCATTTTTTGATAAATTAAGCTTATTAAAGAAAGAAAATTTAACAGAAAAATTAATAATTTTAATAGTTCCAAATAAATTAAGTTTTATAGAGAGTTCCAAGAATAATCCAATACAAGTAAAATGCTTATAAGCTTCTGCGGTTGTTAACGTTTAAGTTACAATACATAAAGTAATAGGATATAATTTGTAAACAATTGGAATGTACTGTTTACCAAACAAAGTTACTTGTAAACACTTCAACTCTGGATTTGAGTTCTCTTCAATATGGAAGTCAAGTACAAACTACAGTGAACGGATTGTTTGAAATATCTATTTGTTATAATTTCAGATCAAAGACAGCAGACTACACTTCAGATATAATCTGAACAGTCTTCGGACGGAAGAGCGAGATATCTGGCTTTCGGCGATAGCCGTCGATGATGGACAATGGCATACAGTTAGAGTATCAAGATATGGATCTGCCGCAACTTTGGAACTGGACGGTGGCGAAGGACGAAGATTCAATGAGACCTTCTCATTTGAGGGTCATCAATGGCTCCTCGTCGATAAACAAGAAGGTGTTTACGCGGGTGGTAAGGCGGAATATACTGGTGTCCGCACATTTGAAGTTTATGCGGATTATCAGAAAGGTAACTTAAATTGCTTCACAAAAGTTTTAAATATAAATACGCTTTTTATTTTTAATACTACTGTATTTTATATTTTTATTACTACTGTATTATTGTATTATTGTATACTACTGTAGTATTATTTTTAAAGAAGTTTTTAAATTGACTTGTGTTTATTTAATTGAAGAGAAAAATATTACATAATTTTTAATTAACTCATAATTTATTTAATTAAAATAATTGTACATTCACAACTTATTTAATTAAAGATATTGCATATTTTTAATAATTTTCCATTTTGATAAATATAATGAAACAAAAATCTAGATAAGAAATTACAGTTTCTATTGATAATTTTTTGTTTGAGAAATCGAATCGACTTTTTATTTCATCATGAGAATCTTTATGATCATTTCTATTTTGAATCTTTTAAACAACAAAAATTAATTTAATTATATAATTTTTAACAAAAATCTTAGGCTGTTTGGACGACATAAGATTAGAAGGAAAGCATCTTCCGCTACCACCTGCTATGAACGGAACTCAATGGGGTCAAGCAACGATGGCGCGAAACCTGGAAAGGAATTGTCCATCAAATAAACCGTGTGCCAATGTCATTTGTCAGGATCCCTTCGAGTGCATTGATCTTTGGAACGAGTACGACTGCACGTGAGTATCATTATTACTGACTTCATTTATCTTTGAGGCAATCGTTATATCACGTTTTTCATCGCAGTTGCGGGGAAGGAAGAATTCCTTCGCCGGATAACAAAGGTTGCATGGACAAAAATGAATGTATTGATTATCCCTGCCTGAACGGTGGCAGATGTATCAATCAAGATCCGCGATTCCGATATCGATGCATTTGTCCTGATGGTTTCTGGGGGGAGAATTGCGAGCTAGTCCAAGAGGGTCAAACGCTCAAGCTGAGCATGGGAGCATTGGCGGCCATTCTCGTTTGTCTTTTAATCATTCTCGGTTAGTACAAACATTTATATATTAGACATTTAAAGTAATAATTGATTTGCCACAACGATATAATTAAAAAAAATTAGTTTTCCTGCAGAAATTAACTTCAATTTTGAATCATTAAAATTTTGATAATATTATAATATAATATTATAAGACTGACAAAGAAATAAAAGTATGTTTTTTCACAGATTTTTGTATATATTCTTTTTCTGCAAGCTATTGAAAAACGACAATTTTTTTAATTATATCGTTCTTGATGAGTGATACAATTTAATGTACATGCTTTTGTTTCTTTTTATTGTATTTTTTTATTGTATTTTTTATGAATTGTGTTATATCTTTGATAATGTTATTTTTATTTTGTTTTTAAGCACGTAATTATGTTTCAGTTATTTTTGTTTTGAATGATCGACCATTGAATGATCGACCAAAAAATAAAACAAGTTCATAAAAAATTACGCACAAAACTTCTGATGACTTCGTCAATATGAGCTTTCATTTCAAGAATAATGTGTTCCGATTAATAAGATTAGATATATGCTTTATATATTGCAATAATGTTGTTGCTATAGATTTTGTCACATTTTGCACTTGCTTGAATTCTCAGCAGAGAAATATTACTTTGATATAATTGATAACAACTTTGTTCAATACGAACAAAGTGAATTAATTTTTTAAATATCAAAATTTCAGTTCTCGTGTTGGTATTCGTCGTCTACAACAGAAGACGAGAGGCACACATAAAATATCCTGGTCCGGATGACGACGTGAGGGAAAATATTATTAATTATGATGATGAGGGTGGCGGAGAGGATGACATGACTGCGTTCGATATCACACCTCTGCAGATTCCGATCGGTGGCCCGATACCGGAAATGGGCGGCAAGCTGCCTCCGTGTAAAGTAGCCTGTACGTTATATACTTTTGTACTGCAATATAGCGGGATAATTCATAAGAGTGAAAGACTAATTGAAACGTTATTCTCAGATCCGCTTGGACCAGAACCGAATGTCGGTGTCTTCATCGAGGATCACAAGAAGAGGGCTGACAGTGACCCAAACGCACCACCCTTCGACGATTTACGGAATTACGCGTATGAAGGTGGCGGAAGCACCGCGGGTTCTCTGGAATCACTAGCTTCCGGTACGTAATAAAAATTTTTGAATAAATAAAATCTAACTATTTTACATTGCAAAAAAGTATAATACATTAAATCTCTTCAAAATTTTTAAATTAAAAAAAAATTAATTTTGCAAGAATTTACTCATTATAATATGAAATATTAATCACATTCAATAAATAATATTGATATTTTTTTATTACATAGTAAAAAATATTTTGCATTAATATTTTTTTATGTAATTTTTTATATACAATACATAGTGTAATTTCTTAATATATTCATTCAAAGTTTTATGTTAAATTAACATAAAATTTTAGGTAAACCGAAGTGAAACTTTGGGACAAATTCTAACACACATTTTTTTTATCTGTGTGATATATTATTTATATTAATAAAGTTATTGAGTTTCAATTTTTCCTAATTCTAGGTACGGATGATGAGCAACACGAGTACGAGTATTTAGGCGCTTGGGGCCCGAGATTCGATAAGCTGGCCGATATGTATGGTCCCGCCGAGGAGAGCGAAGAAGAAGAATAATCAACCAAATATACAGCCGAGTCTCTACATGATATTGCACCGTGATCCATATCACGATCCGAATAAGTACTCGTGAGACCTCGGTCGAGACGACCTGGTCCGTCACATCGGATGACAGGGATCATCATAACGAACATTCGGAGGATCTCGAAGGAAAAAGAGAGTACGGCTTCCTTCGCTGAGAGTGATAAATCCTCGACGAACAACGAGGAACAACTTCCTCGTAGTTGTGCAGCTAGTGAAAGTACTAATTACACGTGACGTCATACACACTGCGTCACGCGACACGTTGTCGCGTCATCCGTGGTGCGTGGACGCAATACACACAGACACACACGTACTCGAGAGTCAAAGGTGCATAAAGGAACGTTGCAATAGCGCGACAGTACACGTAGAAAGGTGGTAAACGAGAAGGTGGAGGAGTCGCAACATATATTTAACTGTATAGTACGTTATACGTAGTGAAATATCCAAAGACACGCGACAAGACTTTTTCTAATGTGAACCCTATCCCGTCATCTCGATCCCGCTCATCGGTCACCATCGATAAATTCACTCCATGCATACACCTATATATACATATATACGTGTAGGTATAATATCGCGTCGTTGTCGTCAAGTGTCGGATCTTAGATCGGCGTGTCGTCCTCGTGCAACCGGGATTCGTTCATTTATTTAATGTCGCGAATTGGGCGAACGTGTTAGATGTGTTGTAACTGATTAATCAAGGGCATTCACACACATTCAAACATACGCATATACATATACACATATACGTTAACACGATACCGACGATACTGATCAAAGGCGGCATGATTCGTCGTCTCGGCGATGATCCTTCGTTTCCTTCGTCGCGCGAAACTCTTCGTTTCTTCGTTTTTCTGCATGACGTTCCGTGGGTAACCTCGACAAACAGTATACATTTCGTTGTCCTGAATGCGGAGGAGTTTTGGAAACAACGCACTCTCGTTCATGACGGACGATCTTACCGTAGATAGTCTGCCATAATAGGAATTATCGTTAAGGTATCGTTAGTTGTCGCGACATCGGCTCATTGTCGTCATCGTCATCGTCACCGCCATCCTCATTACCGATAGCATTATATTATTAAATATTATAATATATTATATAAATATATTATAAATATGAATTTATAGA